CATAAGTTGTTATTAGCTTTGAACAAACTTCCAGTAATTGCAAATACTCTTATTTCGGTGCTTTGTGTCTATTGTCTTAATGTAAGATTTTTATTTTATTTTTTTTTTTTGTGTCTCGTACCGATCTTTTGAGTTAATCTAATTGCAATTGATTTGTGCAGGTTGTTCTTATATTGTACTGTTACACCACTGTCCCAGCTTCGGGAAGGGTTGAGCGCTCACAAACATGTTCTTGTACTGTTACAGCACTGTCCCAGGTTAGGGGGCGGGTTGGGCCGGATCTCGCTAACATGTTTAACCCCGCCACATTCTGTATGTATGTGCCTGTCCCAAGTCAGGAGCCTGTAATTTAATGGTTGTCGTTTGTTGCTGTGTTACATATTTGTTTTTCGTTCATTTTTTTGTACATTAATCAGACCATTAGTTTTCTCGTTTGAATTGTTTTACATTTGTGATTGCGGGGCCTTTTATATCTGACTATGCGGTATGGGCTTTGCTTATTGTTGAAGGCCGTACGGTGACCTATAGATGTTTATTGCTTTGTCATTTGGTCTCTTGTCTCATTGGCAATCTTCGTTTTTATATCAACCCTGCCATATTCTTTGTGTGCCTATCCCAAGTCAGGAGCCTATAGTTTAGTGGTTGTCGTTGGTTCATGCCTCGACTCATATTTGATATTTTGTAAATTATTTTGTTATGTATAATTAGGCCGTTAGTTTTTTCGTTTGAATTGTTTCTCACACTTTTCATGTCGGGCCTTTTATAGACGACTTTTAATACAGTATCGGGTTTTGTCATTGTTGAAGGCCTTAATTACGGTTGCCTATAATTTCTTACATCCACTTCATAATTGAACTCCGGTGGATAGTTGCCTCATAAGCAATCATACATCTCTTCGTTTTTATATTATATACTTGACTTTTAAACTCGTGTTTTCCTGAACCGAGTCCTGAACAGGCATGACATATTTGTCACTGGGCGTTAAAAATTAGCAACAAACAATCAATCAATTTAAACTTGTGTTAAATAAGAAGAAAAACCATTTGATATTTATTCATTTATTGGGGTGGGGGGCAGGTGGATTTCATATATGAATATGGTTGCCTGGTAAGAGCTGAAAAATAGTCATAATTAGCGACAGATTAAAAAGTTAATAATGCCCTATTCCCTTCCCCATCCTTCATCTATAAATTTAAACTGACCATAGCCCAACTTAGTGTTGAATGTAGCGTTTAACACCAATCAATCAAAATCCCTTCCCTAGAATATCAAATAGTCGTCCCTGAACTGTTATTGTCCGTGTAGTTCTTATATTTATCCAGCTTATCGTCCTACAGGGATGTCCTACTAAGACTGTCATACCATAAGAACGTTTCTCTAATTCTTCGTCAATTATCCCTTTCTGCACCCATTGTATAAAAAAAATTTAATCAACGTGTGGTTCGTTTGATCTCAGTTCTTCATTGGTTAAAATCCGATTATGACGTCGAATTTTCTTGCTTTCCTCTGAATTTCCTATTGTGACGGCATGAAAAAAGGCGACCATGCCTGATGACGTCACATAGAAAGAACACATCTTTTTGCAGATCATTCGAAAAGAAGGAATAAATTTGCCTGCGTATTGTTTGAAAATCATTAGAGAAACAGATTCCACCACCAAATCTCGTGTAATACGATATTTATCCACTCTCGACAGTTAAATTTTAAATATTTAAAACGCTCGGCGAGCCTCGCGTTTTAAATTTGAAAATTTAACTGTCTCGAGTGGATAAATATCGTATCACACTCGATGCAGTGGTAGAATCTATATTTATAACACAGCTCACATTCTAATATATCTGCATTCATAAATTTATTAATGTCATTTAGACTAAACGACGCCATGTTTGTTATGTGCCTCTGCCGTCTAAACTACCTAACAAAAAAGAAGAGGTGGAAGAGAGCCAGAAGATATTCCCTATTCAAAATAAAATGCTTCGCTGGGCGCAGCTTGATACGACCGCAGAGGTCGAACCCTGAACAGTTGGGGCAAGTATGGACACAACATTCAAGCTTGATACAGCTCTGAATTTGGATTGTGATTAAATATTTGACACAGCATAGGTTTCTGACACAGAAAGAATGTGGTCTAAGAACTTCAATTTTTTTAATTTACCTATTATGGTCCAATGTCCAAAATCAAAATACATGGTTAGATTCAGCATATCAAAGAACCCCATATATTCAATTTTTGTTGAAATCAAACAAAGTTTAATTTTGGACCCCAACTTGGACAAACTTGAAAACTGGTCCCATAATCAAAAATCTAAACACATGTTTAGATTCAGCATATCAAAGTACCCGAAGAATTCAATTTTTGTTAAAATCAAACTAAGTTTAATTTTGGACCCTTTGGACCTTAATGTAGACCAATTTAAAAAACAGGACCCAAAATTAAAAATCTAAATACATGGTAAGATTCAGCATATCAAAGAACCCCATATATTCAATTTTTGTTGAAATCAAACAAAGTTTAATTTTGGACCCCAATTTGGACCAACTTGAAAACTGGGCCAAAAATCTAAAATCTAAATACATGTTTAGATTCAGCATATCAAAGAACCCCATATATTCAATTTTTGTTGAAATCAAACAAAGTTTAATTTTGGACCCCAACTTGGACCAACTTGAAAACTGGTCCCATAATTAAAAATCTAAACACATGTTTAGATTCAGCATATCAAAGAACCCCAAAAATTCAATTTTTGTTAAAATCAAACTAAGTTTAATTTTGGACCCTTTGGACCTTAATGTAGACCAATTTAAAAAACAGGACCCAAAATTAAAAATCTAAATACACAGTTAGATTTGGCATATCAAAGAACCCCAATAATTCAATTTTTTATGAAATCAAACAAAGTTTAATTTTGGACCCTTTTGACCTCAATATGAACCAATTTGATAGCAGGCCCACAAATAAAAAATCTAAATACATGGTAAGATTCAGCATATCAAAGAACCCCATATATTCAATTTTTGTTGAAATCAAACAAAGTTTAATTTTGGACCCCAATTTGGACCAACTTGAAAACTGGGCCAAAAATCTAAAATCTAAATACATGTTTAGATTTTGCATATCAAATAACCCCATATATTCAATTTTTGTTGAAATCAAACAAAGTTTAATTTTGGACCCCAACTTGGACCAACTTGAAAACTGGGCCCATAATCAAAAATCTAAACACATGTTTAGATTCAGCATATCAAAGAACCCCAAGAATTCAATTTTTGTTAAAATCAAATTAAGTTTAATTTTGGACCCTTTGGACCTTAATGTAGACCAATTTAAAAAACGGGACCCCAAATTAAAAATCTAAATATACGGTTAGATTCGGCATATCAAAGAACCCCAATAATTCAATTTTTGATGAAATCAAACAAAGTTAAATTTTGGACCCTTTGGACCTCAATGTGGACCAATTTAAAAACGGGGCCCAAAATCCAAAAACTTAATACACGGTTAGATTCAGCATATTAAAGAACCCCAAGAATTCAAGAATAAAACCCCATTGAAATTGATCAAGAAATAAGCAATTTATACGAAGTATCTTCTTTTGCACAACACTGTGCAATTGAATATTTCTTGCTATTGCGCAATACTGTACAATTGACAATTTCTTGCTATTGCGCAATATTGTGCTATTGGATATTTCTTGCTATTGCGCAATACTGTGCAATTGAAGATTTCTTGCTATTGCGCAATACTGTGCAATTGAAGATTTCTTGCTATTGTGCAATACTGTGCAATTGAAAATTTCTTGCTATTGCACAATACTTATTATATAATAATTTACACATCCTGTTTGGTGTGTATCTCCTACCATATCATTATTATTTGCTTTTAAATATAAATCAGAAATAATCAACTTAAAATGGAAAATTTTAAAAGAAAAAAAAAAGGAAAAAAAGAAAAAAAAAAAAAAAAAAAATCTCCCCCCCCCAAATTTTTTGAACCCCCTTATGATTCATCACCCCCAAACTCAATCCCAGCCTTCCCTTTGTGGTATGGTACCTTGCAGTACAATTTCAGAGAGATCCATACACTTGAACACAAGTTATTGTCTGGAAACTAGAAAAATGCTTATTTTTGGCCCCTTTTTGGCCCCCAATTCCTAAACGTTTCGGGCAATTACCCCCAAACTCAATTCCAGCTTTCCCTTTGTGATATGGAACCTTGTAGTACAATTTCAGAAATATCCAAACACTTACACACAAGTTATTGTCATGAAACTAGAAAAATGCTTGTTTTTTGCCCCTTTTTTGGCCCCTAATTCCTAAAATTTTGAGGCAATTACCCCCAAAATCAATTACAGCCTTCCCTTTGTGATATGGAACCTTGTGGTACAATGTCAGAGAGATCTATACACTTACACACAAGTTATTGTCTGAAAATTACAAAAATGCTTATTTTTGGCCCCTAATTCCTTAACTGTTGGTACCATAACCCCCAAAATCAATCCCAACCTTCCTTTCGTGGTATTGAACCTTATGGTGAAATTTCATGGAGATCCATTCACTTAAACTAAAGTTAGAGTGCGAAAACCAATGTGTCTTCGGACGACGCCAGACGACGCCGGACGACGACGACGACGACGACGACAACGACGACGACGACGACGACGACGCCAACGTCATACCAATATACGACCAAAAAATTTTTAATTTTTGCGGTCGTATAAAAACAGAAGTGGACCTCTTCTGGCTCACTACCGAAGAACAAAAAAACACGCCCTAGAATTACAGTGGAAATTTCCAAGTTAGATAATCCCGTCATAATTTGATAACCTCATGCTTTATATTTATACAGATATATCGTAAACTTGTTTCTTTCGAATATAATTAACAAATATTAAAACTACGAATTTATATTATGATAACCTATACAAGGTATCTTTTTAAAACTATGATATCAATGATGTTATAGTATCAATTATATTATAGTATGTGTCACAATTCTATATTTAGAACTGAATGTTACTTCCTCCTAACAGGATAAGGTATGGAATAGTTTCATTTCTATATTACCTCCGTATTAACAATCTTTTAGTGTCAAATGAAATCTTCTATCAGCAGAATTGTGCTTAATATTATGCATGCTGCCTACCACCGTGATACGTATAGTAAAACCATGTGGTAGTTATGCAGTTGCTTCGTTTACTTTAAATTTGGGCTTGTCATGCTGTAGTTTACTTTTCGTCCCATAAGATTAATTTATTTCTAGTTGCATATATTTCATGCATGTTGACGAGAACAACTTAACAATAAATCAAAAATGAAGGTTCTGCAAAGTGGGCGGCGTCGACCGATATATGAATTATGTCCGAAAATTTCGACTGCCCCTAGAAAATACGGGTATTGTTGTAGAGGCAGACATTTTGTTATCACTGCAGGTCACAAAGAGTTGTAGCAAGAGTGATCAAGAGTTCTTTAACATGCAGAGAGCGTGGCACTTTCCCTACAGAAATCATCGGATTTTATCACACCTTTTCCGATCGTTGGACGTGGCTGAGTAGTTTTGAGGGTGTGGATGGGGGTTTACAGAATAGAGATTAATGAGGTGCTAAAATATAAAGAATAGAGAAAACTGGGCGAAAAGTATAACAGAATAGAGAAAAATTACCTAAAAAATTAAAGAATACAGAAATGAAGGACCCTCATACATACCTCATTTATACATCCTGCACAGCCAAACGGACGCACTTATTTACTGCCAGTTGTGAGATTCCTCGTCTACTTTCGGGGTTGCTTGCAGTTAGAAAAGGGCTGCAGCTTTTGTAATACCATACAGTCCTTATGAATGTTCATAGGAGTTTTGTCTCTTAGGCAGGATGCCTTCAGCCTATGCCAACATTCGAAAAATATATAGTCAACATATGCCTATACCAACAAAATGCACTAGGCGTTGTTATAGCAATTTAAACTAGAGGCTCTAAAGAGCCTGTGTCGCTCACCTTGGTCTGTGTGCTGCAGTGCATATTAAACAAAGGACACTACAACATTAAAGACAAGAATAGAATTCATGACAAAATTCTCTGTTTTGGTGATGGTGACTTGTTTGTAGATCTTACTTAACTGAACATTCTTGCTGTTTACAGTTATCTCTATCTATAATGAAATTGGCCCAGTAGTTTCAGAAGAAAAGATTTTTGTAAAAGATAAAAAAATTTACGAAAAATTGTGAAAAATTGACTTTAAAAGGCAATAACTCCTGAAGGGGTCAATTGACAATTTTGGTCATGTTGACTTATTTGTAGATCTTACTTTGCTTAACAGTCTTGCTGTTTACAGTTATCTCTATCTATAATGAACATGGCCCAGTAGTTTCAAAAGAAAAGATTTTTGTAAAAGATAAAAAAAATTACGAAAAATTGTGAAAAAATGACTTTAAAAGGCAATAACTCCTGAAGGGGTCAATTGACAATTTTGGTCATGTTGACTTATTTGTAGATCTTACTTTGCTTAACAGTCTTGCTGTTTACAGTTATCTCTATCTATAATGAACTTGGCCCAGTAGTTTCAGAAGAAAAGATTTTTGTAAAAGATAAAAAAAATTACGAAAAATTGTAAAAAAATGACTTTTAAAGGCAATAACTCCTGAAGGGTCACTTGACAATTTTGGTTGACTTATTTGTAGATCTTACTTTGCTGAACATTTTTGCTGTTTACAGTTTATCTCTATCTATTATAATATTCAAGATAATAACCAAAAACTGCGAAAATTTCCTTAAAATTACCAATTCAGAGGCAGCAACCCAACAACGGGTTGTCTGATGCGTCTGAAAAGTTTGCAGCAGATAGATCTTGACCTGATGAACATATTTACCCCATGTCAGATTTGCTCTAAATGCTTCAGTTTCAGAGATATAAGCCAAAAACTGCATTTTACCCCCATGTTCTATTTTTAGCCACGGCGGCCGTCTTGGTTGATGGACGGGGTCATCGGATATACTTTTTAAACTAGATACCCTAAGGATGATTTAGGTCAAGTTTGGTTTAATTTGGCCGGGTAGTTTCAGAGGAGAAGATTTTTGTAAAAGATAACAAAAATTTACGAAAATTGAGAGAGAAAAAATGACTTTAAAGGGCAATAACTCTTTATGGGGTCAAATGACAATTTTGGTCATGTTGGCTTATTTGTAGATCTTACTTTGCTGAACAATTTTGCTGTTTACAGTTTTCTCTATAATATTCAAGATAATAACCAAAAACTGCAAAATTTCCTTAAAATTACCAATTCAGAGGCAGCAACCCAACAACAGGTTGTCTGATGCGTCTGTAAATTTTAGGGCCGATAGATCTTAACCTGATGAACATTTTCCCCTCTCAGATTTGCTCTAAATGCTTTAGTTTCAGAGATATAAGCCAAAAACTGAATTTTACCCCCATGTTCTATTTTTATCCACGGCGGCCATCTTGGTTGATGGGCGGGGTCATCGGATATATTTTTTAAACTAGATACCCTAAGGATGATTTAGTTCAAGTTTGGTTTCATTTGGCCCAGTAGTTTCAGAGGAGAAGATTTTTGTAAAAGTTAACGGACGACGACGACGACGACGGACGACGGACGCAAAGTGATGAGAAAAGCTCACTTGGCACTTTTGGGCCAGGTGAGCTAAAAATTATTTGAAAAAAAATAAACCACCAAAATCATTGTCCAATAGCTTAATTTGTAATCTTGGGGTAGAAAATTTGAATTAAAACAAAATTAAGATAGAAAGAATTGCAGTTTATATATAATGGGAAAAAACTATTTTAGAAACATGTGTCATTAGGTAGGAATACCAATATCTTGTAATTTTATCAATGGAAACATTAACAAAGGAAACATGCCCTTATATTTATAAACACATATTTGTATGTCAAGATGTGTGTGTCTAGTGTTGTAGACGTGTCATAATGAATCAATGTAAACATATAAGCTTTGTTATGACTGGTAAGGACAGTTATTTAGTTACTGTTAGTTTTTTCATTAAGACCGACCGAAGGTGTCTCAAAGTTTGCATGTGTAAAACAACCAGTAATTCCAAGCGTTGATAAAAAGGTCTAATGTTGGTGAGACTAGGTAGTGTCCGGCTGACATATATGCATCATCGTGTTTGACATGCATAACTGGCAGAATTAAGTCTACAAGTGCATCACCCCAAGTCTTTGGTGGGGTTCGTGTTGCTCAGTCGTTAGTTTTCTATTTTGTGTTTTGAGCTTTAAAGAACTACCATTCTCATTAATTGCTTTCATCACATGTCATACGATTCTCGAATTACATTGCTAAAAAATTCATATGGAGAGATGATTATTCCTATTGAAAGAAAAAAAAACCTTTTCCTGCTTCTTTAATGCGAATAAAAAAGAGATCAGCTACACCAGAGAAATATAATACTATATTTTTTAAAACTCAATGTTGAATTGCTTTTTTCCCCTAATTTTAAATGGAAACATACTATTTCTTTCACTTCCTTCTAAAACATTTTCTCAAGAAATTTAGAATCAAACAACTTATTTAAAAAAAAACATACCCACAACAAAAAATGAATGGTCATTGATTTGTGCGATAATTTCACATGGATATATACCAATTAATTATTTTTTGTCTCATTTTAGGCAATATTGTGGTTCAGCAAAGTCCTAATTTGTTAGTCACCGAATGGTAGAATTTTGTTTAGACTTCAATATTGAGGATAAATATGTAAATTTAATTCGTTCAATAACAAATGTAACATTCACCACCACAGTCTTTATTTCTTCGCTGAAGTCCTTTAGGTAACTGTTAAGCTTAATGTTTGCTTTACGCCAACCTAGCAAACAATGCTAACTAAGATAAAGAACGACACAAAGGTGATATTACTTTTATAGAATAATTTCTCTATATTTTATGGGATTTTCATCTCAAGAGCAGTAACCACATGCTTTTCTTATCGCGATTTCTTCTTTTTTTCTAAAAATTTGACACAACCCAAGCTGTATTTGTCTTGATTTTACACGATCTTATAATTTTCCATACAAATTAATGACACACATTATGTTAAGATCCAATTTTGATTTTACATAATATATTTTACCAGTAAAATTTTGTTTAATTTCGTTACAGGTTGTGGCAAAATGAGTGACGAAAATGTATGCTCTGTCTGCTGGGATAATTTTAAATTTCCAAAAATGTTACCATGTAAACATTCATTCTGCATTTCATGTCTTCACGAGTTTCTAGGAGGCCTAACAGACAAGTCAAACTTAATATGTCCGTTATGCAGGGAGCCTTGTTATGTACCAGACAAAGGATTTACAGACTTCCCAACAAATTACTTTGTTCCAGTCGAGAAAACTCCAAAACTATGCCAGGAATGCCAAAAATTACCCGTTTACAAGAATTGTTACCTATGTAGCACAATTATTTGCAAACAATGTGATCGTCTTCATTCACATGGTAAAAAGTCAGACAAGCAAGGTGATGACGACACTGAAAATGGTAGTATCGCTTCCCTTCCTCCTCATTTACATTGGGCTCTCATGCATCAAAATATGAAGACAGAACTTTTATGTCAACAAATTTCTATGTTTGTTGGAGAGTTTCTTCCCATTGATGATATACGGAAATCCGTTCGTTCTATTGCCGTATCGAGAACTGGGGGTGCTTATGTAAGATTAAACGAAAATGAATTTCTTCTAAAATACGATAAGCATGGAAAGATAGTCAACAGAATTCCTTTACATGCAGATGCAGCCACAGTGCTTGAGACGATGGATGGATCACTGTTAATTTCACATTTTGCACTGAAAGCAGTCGTTTGCTATGGAAACGGTTCACCTGACTCAAAACATTTCTATTTTGTGAAGACACCAACTTTTCATCCAATTGGTATGACTGAATTGCAGAATAGGAATATTGCAGTGAGTGGACCAACACATCTTTGTACCGCCAAGTGTAAAAATAATGATTGCGAATTATCCAAGACTAGTCCTGGTGTCCTACACATTTACACTAGACAAGGCACGTTAGTGAAAGAAATTAAACAAGATATAATGGAACCTATCTTTAATTTTCCAACTGAAATTGCATCTAATAATAGAACCGAAACAATAGCTGTGTGTGACACTCACCTAAACAAAGTAATCATTATAGATTACGATGGGAAAGTTCGAGGATTTTTTAAAGGTTGGAAGTTACCGTTTACATTATTTTCAGAAAATTTCCATCCTTCGTCCGTGTGTTCAACTGCCGATGGATATTTCCTTGTAGCCGATCCTCACAAAGAATGTTTACACATACTCAATCCGTATGGCAAATTTATAGGTATTGTGCGTGGTGAAGATGGTGATAGTTTAGCGGATAGCAGTGCTGTATGCGTTGATGCTGAAAACAATATCTGGGTGGGACATCACAGTCAAGGAACCATTACCGTGTTGAAACCAAGCTGTTTTAAGAACAAATTTGACCAATTGCGCTTTCCTTTTCTCAATGGTGAAGATCTTCGATTACCGTTCTTCCCCGGACTTCATCTCGATCCGAACTAAATACCCCGCTTTGTTATTCTTCATGTGGTTTATATTATAATAACGAAATAGATCCAATAAATAAACTGTGTTACATCAGCATCAATCTTTATATGTCATTCATTCTGTAATCTGGACTGACAATCGACTATTGTAGTTATATTTGGAGTATTGTTCATTTGCATTGTTGTTATTTTATCCAGACGGGATGTTCTGTTGTTGTTTAAATCAGACGGGATGTGCTGTTGTTGTTCAAATTAGACCGGATGTGCTGTTGTTGAAGTGAGGTCTGAACAAGTAGTGTTGTCTTCATGTATCGTGTCATATTGTATATTAGCCACCAGTATTGTTATAGCGAGATGGGATGCACTGTTACTGTAGCCATTTTTAATGTACTGTTGTTGAAATCAGGTTAAATGTCCCGTCTTTTTCAATGTCTGGTTTATCGTTGATGTAGTCAGGTCTGATTTACCTCACTGCTGTTATAGTCAGGTCAATTGTTGAAGAAATGAGTGATTTGTCGCATTGTTGTAGTCATATTATAAGATTTACTTCACTGTTGTTGAGGTAATGATTGATTAACAACACTGTTGTTATAGTCGGGTTAGATTTACAGTTAATGTAAGCAGGTCTGACTTACCGTTGTAGTAGTCAGGTCATATTTACTGTCAGTGTAGTCTAGTCTGATATACCACACTGTTGTTATAATCAGGTCTGATGTACCGTTGTATAGTCCGGTCTGAATTACCGCACTATTGTTCTATTCGGGTCTGATTTACCGCGCTGTGGTTGTAGTTGGGTCTGATTAACCGCACAATTGTTGTAATCATGTCTGAATTACCACACTGTTGTTATAGTCACGTCTGATGTACCGTTGTTATAGTCAGGTCTAATGTACCGTTGTTGTAGTCCAGTCTGAATTACCTCACTGTTGTTGTAGTCCGGTCTGATTTACCGTACTGCTGTTTTTGTCGGGTCTAATTTACCGCACTATTGTTATAGTCGGGTATAATTTACCACACTTTTGTTATAATCAGGTCTGATTTACCGTACTGCTGTTGTTGTCGGGTCTAGTTTGCCGAATATTGTTATAGTCCTGTATAATTAACCACACTTTTGTTGTAGCCAGGTCTGATTTACCGTACCGTTGTTGTAGTCCGGTTTGATTTACCGTACTGTTGTTATAGTCCGGTCTGATTTACCATACTGCTGTTGTAGTCAGGTCTGATATCCCGCGTTGTTGTTTTAGTCAGGGTTGAGTTACTGCACTGTTTTTATAGTCATTTCTGATTTACCATTGTTGCAGTCCGGTGTGATTTACTATACTACTGTTGTAGTCAGGTCTGATATCCCGCCTTGTTGTTTTAGTCAGGATTTAATTACTGCACTACTGTTATAGTCATTTCTGATTTACCATTGTTGTTGTCCGGTCTCATTTACCGTACTGCTGTTAAATTCAGGTTCGACTTACCGATCTGGTGTTGTCGTCCGGTCATATTAATCGTACTGCTGTTGTAGTAAGGTATGATTTACCGTACTTGTGTTGTAGTCCGGTCTGATTTACCATAGTGGTATTGTAGTCCTTTTTGATTTACTGTAGTGGTGTTGTAGTACGTTTGATTTAACCGTAGTGGTGTTGTAGTCCGGTTTATTTACCGTACTGGTGTTGTAGTCATGCAGTTCTGATTTATCATGTTGGTGTTGTAGTCCGGCCAAATTTACCGTACTGTTATTTTAATCAGGTCTGATTTACCGTACTGATGTTATAGTCCGGTCTGATTTATCGTACTGATGTTATAGTCCGGTCTGATTTATCGTACTGGTGTTGAAGTGAAGTCTGATTTGTCGTAGTGGTGTTGTAGTCCGGTCAGATTTACCGTACTGCTGTTGTAGTCATGTCTGATTTTCCTAGTTGTTGTTTAAGTCAGATTTGAATTACCGCACTATTGTTAAAGTCATGTCTGATTTACCATTGTTTTAGTCCGGTCGGATTTACCGCACTATTGTTGTAGTCGGATCTGATTTACCACACTGTTGTTGTAGTCGAGTATGTTGTACCGTTGTTGTAGTCAGGTCTGCTTAACAACACTGTTGTTAAAGGCAGGTCGGATTTACTATTGTTGTAGTCAGGTATGCTTTACCCCGCTGTTGAAGTTGGGTCAGATGTATCGTTGTTGTAGTAAGGTTTGATTTACCACACTGTTGTTGTAGAAAAGTCTGATATACCGCACTGTTGTTGTTAGGTCTGATGTACCAATGTTGTAGTCGGATCTGATTTACCACACTGATGATGTAGACGATTCTGATTTACCGCACTGTTGTTGTAGTCGGATTTTATTTACCACGCTGTTGTTCACGGTAGTCGAGTCTGATTAACTGCACTGTTGTTGTAGTCGGGTCTGATGTACTGCACTGTTGTTGTATTTGGGTCTGATTTACCACACTGTTGTTATAGTAGGGTATAATTTACAGCATTATTGTTATAATTAGGTATGATTTACCACACTGTTGTTACAGTCGGATCTGATTTACCGCTCTATGTTTATAGTGAGCTCTGATGTACCGTCGTTGTAGTCATGTTTGAATTTCCGCACTGTTGTTTATAGGTAGGTCTGAATTACTGCACTGTCTAATTTATTGCATTATTATTGTAATCAGGTCTGATTAACCGTTGTTGTAGTCAAGTCTGATTTACCTCACAGTTGTTGCAGTCAGGTCTTAACACGACACTGATGATTATAGTCAGGTTTGAATTACAATTGTTGTAGTCATATCTGATTTACCTGGCTGTTGTTGAAGTCAGGTCTGATTTATTAGTTATATTCAGGTTTGAAGTATGATGATGGGAGTTTTTAACGACCTTGACTGGCTATACAGCCCTCGAACGATCGGTTTGAAGTAGTGCTGTAGTCAGGTCTTATAAATTGATGTAGGGAGTGAAGTGTTGATGTAGTCAGGTGTGATATTCTGATGTAGTCCAGCCTTATGTTTTGTTGTAGAGTCTGATATAGTTTTGTTGTAGTTAGATTGTTTGTCTTGTTGTAATCAAGTCTAATGGATTGTTGTAGGCAGTATGATTAAGTTTCGTTGTAGTTTAGTTTTTTTTGTCTTGTTGTAATCAAGTCTAATGGATTGTTGTATGCAGTATGATTAAGTTTCGTTGTAGTTAGATTTTTTGTCCTGCTGTAATCAAGTCTAATGGATTGTTGTATGCAGTATGATTAAGTTTCGTTGTAGTTAGATTTTTTGTCTTGTTGTAATCAAGTCTTATGGATTGTTGGAGGCAGTATGCTCCAGTTTCGTTGTAGTTAGAATGTTTGTCTTGTTGTAATCAAGTCTTATGGATTGTTGTAGGCAGTATGATTAAGTTTCGTTGTAGTAAGATTGTTTGTCTTGTTGTAATCAAGTCTAATGGATTGTTGTAGGCAGTATGATTAAGTTTCGTTGTAGTTAGATTTTTTGTCTTGTTGTAATCAAGTCTAATGGATTGTTGTATGCAGTATGATTAAGTTTCGTTGTAGTTAGATTTTTTGTCTTGTTGTAATCAAGTCTTATGGATTGTTGGAGGCAGTATGATTCAGATTCGTTGTAGTTAAATTGTTTGTCTTGTTGTAGTCAAGTCTTATTGATTGTTGGAGGCAGTATGATTCAGTTTCGTTGTAGTTAGATTGTTTGTCTTGTTGTAATCAAGTCTTATGGATTGTTGTAGGCAGTATGATTAAGTTTCGTTGTAGTTAGATTGTTTGTCTTGTTGTAATCAAGTCTAATGGATTGTTGTAGGCAGTATATTAAGTTTCGTTGTAGTTAGGTTTTTTTTGTCTTGTTGTAATCAAATCTAAAAGATTGTTGTATGCAGTATGATTAAGTTTCGTTGTAGTTAAATGTTTTGTCTTGTTGTAATCAAGTCTAATGGATTGTTGTGGGCAGTCTGGTAAAGTTTCGTTGTAATTAGATTTTTTGTCTTGTTGTAGGCAGTATGATTAAGTTTCGTTGTAGTTAGATTTTTAGTCTTGTTGTAATCTAGTCTAATGGATTGTTGTAGACAGTCTGATATAGTTTTTTTGTAGTCAGATTTTATATCTTGTTGTAGTCCATCCAAATGCATTGTTGTAGGCAGTATGATTAAGTTTCGTTGTAGTCAGATTTGATGTCCTAATGTAGTCCAGGCAAATGAATTGTATGGGTTTTCCTCATAGCTGAAGAGGGTATTACGGTGCCCTGAAGCTGCTTACATCCACGTCCTTTGGTCTTTCTCGGATAGCTGTCTCAATGGCAACCACACCACATCTTCTTATGCTTATATTATTGACTGGGTCATCGGGCATAATGTTTAATGGACCAATCCTTACGGGTCATGTAGGCAAGTTTAGTTATTATTAACCTAGTTGTTTCAGGCGGTAAGATGTTTTTGACGGACGCTTCACTACAGACGAGAAACGATGGACGCCAAGTGGTGGAAAAACTCACACTGGCCCTTTGGACTAAGTATGAGCTATTGATATCAAAATGTAGACCATGTCTACACTATACATTATATTTCAGTTAAATGTTTGATTAAAATGTATAAAGCGTAATGTTGCATAATGATTACATTGTTTTATTTATATTTTATCAGTCTATATATATATCACTGTATTGATTTATCACTTTATTGATTTACAAATGAAATACACATTTTTTTTAAGTAGATCTCTTTGACATAACTTATATTTGATAATCAATAAGCTTTTATCTTCCGTTGTTGATTTTGTGTTTCGAGATATATCGATTAGCTTAATTGGATATAATTAATGTACCAAATAAAAAGATTATAATATTTTTCTCAGGCTTCAAACGATATACGACAGGTACAAATTTGTAAATTATTTAAAAGAATGGTTATTTATATAGTAAAGCGTGTAAATCGGCTTTAGAAGTGTTAAATTGCTCTGTGTAAAACAGTAATCAGTATCGAATTTCTCTTTGGAGGTCCGTCCTTCAGCAAGAAAAGAAATGAAACCATTTTGGCGGCGTTTTACGGCGTATATGAAGAATTTGTAAATGGTATCACTTCCTAATCTGGAGTTGAAAAGTCGAGGAGATTATTGAAAAAATGGTGAT